CTTTTCCGTTCTTCCTTACAAAACCATGCTGAAATATGTTCTCGTATCCATGTAGAATCCATTCTCTGGCGACCACCAGTGTACCTTGCTCAACAGTAGCAGACGGAAAATAACCTATGGCTGATGAATGCCATTTGCAGTTTTGCAGCAATCACTGTCTTACTGACTGATATAGAAAGACGACTTTTGAGCATATCACCTTTGAATTCCCAATTCACGAAGGTGTTTTTCTCTGGAACTGAGTCAGTGACTAGTTTAGATTGACTGTTTTTTCTGTCACTGTCAATAAGTCAGTTCGGATAACCGTTTTCTGTAAGCTGGGCTTCTGGGAAGAGAAGTTATAAGTCAAAGCAGCCAGAACTTTAAGTGTTTCTTACCATAAAGCAGAGCGAATGAATCAAGTTTCTTTTCCTGGAGACAGGCAGCCAACTACAAAAATCAGTAATACACTAAAGATTCTCACGATGTGATCAGTTTGTAAAGGCAAAAATAATCGGCAAATGTTTTTGTTTTGTCACACTGTAATCTTTCCTCACACGTATTTGGCTAAGTTTCTTAGTTTTGCTATGTTACCATTCAACAAAACTTAGCACACGTGAGTGAACAAAGACACCAAGTTCATCCTGTAAACCGCTTGGCAAATTATTTGGCACAGCCATAAAATCAATAAATATTCTCAACTAGTTTTGTCTTATTCTTGATGAAGGTGCCAAAAAGAAGACTGGAGTTTTCTACAAATTCTCTATACTGCTGCAAAATATGCTATTTGTGAATCGCGTTGAGAAACATCAATATTGGTCAGAAACTGAAATTGTTAGTTTCATAAATATCATATAAAAGTTGCAAAATATGAAATGTTAATATATAGGAAGAGTGAAATCTAATTTGTATATGAAGGAGAAGTCATAATGTGAGCTGATTGAGTGGCAACATGGAACGTAGCTCAGGAGTGAGTGCTTCAGTTTATTTTCCCAAACTCAATGTAGAACGCAAACGTGAAGAAAAGAGAAATTCATAGTGAACAGAAATGTTCGGGGGAAAGAACGGTTCAACGGAAAAACATGAGAGTTTGATGGGTCTTGGAGATGATAAAGAGTGAATTCGTGCGCTTCATTGAAAACAGTCCCTAGGCATTGGTTCTTAGTATTTGGAGGATCCTGATAAGAGAGTGGCTGGCTCAGAACAACATTCAAACACTTCATGGATTAGTGCTAGGTTTTTGTAAGATCACCCCTAAATGTTTCCTCAAGTAATTTTATGTCAGCTGTCAATGTCTGACGAGGAGGAGGGTGCCTTGATATGTGTGGCTCATGTCCTAACTGATTCACTTCCCCTCCTTATTTAGCACTCTAAGCCCAACCTTAATATTGGCGGACAGAATGTAGACACCTATGGTCACATACAGCTTATCCTTTTCATGTTCTTCTCTTTCAATGACCATATCTTACATCCGTCAAAGGAGATAAAACGAACTGCTGAGTAGTGCACACCTACGTTGATTGGCAGCTGGATATCACGTTTATGTTACAGATGACACAAGATGACAAGTGCCAGCTGGGTTTTTCTATCGGTGCTGAGATTACGTCAGCAACCAGTTCATTAGGACCTATCAAATAAACGAAGTGATCAATATGCTCGGCCAATTCACTGCCTTTACTCTTCAAACTGCGAGTCGATTCACATCAGCCCTAAAGCATCATGCCTAAAATTCAAAGATTTCTGATCAAGAATTTCTAAAGACTGAACTTTGACAACGTCTTCACCTAAGAGGAGAATATCATCTGTATACTTCAGTTCGACAAGGGTGTTCTCTGGTAGCAAGTCAATCTCTGAGCAGCTAAAGTTATTTCAGGGCCCACCTTATAATCAGCCAAATGAATATCAGTCAGTCGAGAGTTGTATGAAGTTACTATGAGCTAAGAAGCAATAATTACATTCCGCTCATTTTTCATTAACATAATTACGTATAAAGTCATACTCAGAAGGCTACAGACTTACATCAACAGCTTTCCCTACTCGATGCTCAAGGTCATACGACCAGAAAGGATAAGCAACAGGGGATTCTGGGAACGAAACAACCAGTAACCCGCTGCCTAACAAATACGTAGAAAATGGGTTGGGTAGACGCTGAGGAAACCGTAGTGTAACACCACACCCCAGTCCATCGTTCGAGCGCCTCCCTAATGGGAAACGATAAGTTGGGGGTAGGTCCGAGTGTGACATGAGGTAGATTGTGTTTGGTCAAGAGGAGAATTCATGGAACACCACAGATCCAGCTAAAATGGACTGCAGAAAAACACGATGAAATCCAGATATGTTGTTGCAGCCGTATTTTCCATTTCTAACCTAAGGTAATAATAATAATATACAGGTTTTAAATTTACTTTTCAGTTTGTTGAATTCCGAGGAAAGCTGATGAATCTCAGCACTCAGAAAACGCATTCTGGTACTAATTCTTAATAATATCTGTGTTTATACAGATGACCAATCAGCAGACTATCATTTTCTGTTGACAAGTCACCCTCACCTCTTGTTCCACAGTCAAGTATACAAGTAGCCCAGTAGAATGATTGTGGATATTCCACTTATTATGGCAGCTGTCAAACTAACTGAGAAAATGGTGACTTGTTTTTCTAAAGCGATTAGACTCCTAATCCAAGGCATAACATGGACCATTAGCCCATGAACTGACAACTGAAAATAACATATACACCATTCACTTTTTTTATTATCAAATTTTGAATTTTCTGTCGACTGATTGTACCGAAATGTTAGACCTCTTTTGTGGAACACTTCGAAGATGTCTAAGGATTAAACTGAAGTAATTTAGTGCATGGTGACTAGCAGTTGGATGAAGGATACGCATTTCTCGTCCAGTCAATCAATGGTGAAATCAAAATTGCTGATCTACAGAAGCCCAAAAGACAAAATCCTGCACCTGACCCCTTCTTCTATGTGCATATATCAGTTAACCTGTTGCTGTTGAGCCAGGTACATCGGTCGTTCGACGTGCATCGTGTCAAAAAGGGTCAAAGAATACTATCCAGCGTGGCTGCAGAAAAGAAATAGTGGCCGTATAAGGAGTGCAATAATCGAACATCTCGTCACCACTGATTATTCTATCTCAACAAACGCCTCCTGCTTCAAAGTAATCTACAAAGTGAAGAACAACCTGCCTAAAGCAATACGTTTCCGTCTTCTTTGCATCGCAGAAGACCTGGCCATTAAGCTAGAGGAAGCAGAACTGTGCATACAAAAGGAAATTATTCAACCACTTCTACTCCCATGGTAACAACTGTGTTGATTTAACTTAACTTTTCTTTGTATGCTTATTTTTCTACTCAAAACCCTTGTGTAATTCCGTATATTCTGTTTCCATGTACATCCTGAGTACAACTCTTTCATTAAACTATTCATGTTATTACGCAACTCTTCTTTAACAACCGTTTGTGACAACTCATCACTTTTGTTACTACCCTCTTATATCAACGTCCAATTCATCTGAACTTACTAATTGTATTTTCGTTTGACAAATTTAATGTACACACACATACAAAACAACCATGTACATATTTGCGATTGTACAGCTATGAAACTGAATTCGCCGCCGAAAGAGACTCTTCGCTGAACTACTTGTCTTCTGTCTATTAATGTTCGAATGGGAATTTTTCATGAAATCAAAATATTGAACTGAAAGTAAATAATAATTCATACCTGCCTCAGAAAAGAGACGACTCTCTTAGCCTAATCAATGTAGTGGGTGACTTTTCGGCTTTCACAATGACGAGTTGTGAGTTCAAATCTCATCCGGAGCACCACCACTCACTCGGTAATCCAGGTGGATCCAGTTGACTAGTCCCGATTAGGATGAAACGCGCATCACGAATCCCACTGTCACTCGCCGTCAACCAAAATTACACACTTCCACTCTTCAAAGTGTGCATTAAATCAGGTTATTCACACACACGCACACACACAAGCTAAAAATATCTTCAGAAGGTATTTCTTTCAAACAATCACTCAACTGCTAAGGTGATTTCCAGTGTTTTGTAGTCACGTAGATAGATTTAATAAATATTAGTAATAAGAATGCAAAAACAGTGCTTTTCATCTATGAAACTTTCCAATGAAGATTGAGAGATACTTTTCACACTATATTTGGTAAACGCCTGAAATAAGTTTTGACATCACATTTCTAAAAACAGAATACACATGTAGAGTGGGCGTTTTGTTTTTGTTACTTGTCACTTGAAAGTATATACTCAGAAAAGCCAATGACAAATGACACTACTACTATATGTGGTTTATTTATTTATAGGCCTCTGAAGTCTACTATAAAACTAGAAGGATTGTGTACTTTTTTCCATATTGCATACATCCATCTGCAGTAGAGAGTAAGTTCTATGCGATTTTCAATATATGCTGTACAATTTTGAAAGTATCCGTAACACTTAGTTGCATAGCACACTGGCACAATGTTTAGCTAAAGAGATTATTTTAACAATAAGCGTCTATTTGAATTCCTTTTATCGAATAATAAATTCAGGAGGATTCTTGAAAGACACTTGGTAAAGAATAGTTCAGTGATGTTTGCTTTTACTGAATGTATTTACTCATACTTTTTCATTTCAGTTTCATAGTTAACGTCATATAGATCTTTAGTAGGTAATCTGACCAATTAATTGAGATTAGTGAACCCGATAGCCAGTAGTATGTTAAACTGTCTTTGAAATTAGTTAGTGTTTATGCCCAGACTGATAAGTCTCACATCGAGTCTACATCAGCAGAATAAAGGACACCTGATGATTGATAGCTCCTCGATTAATCTATATTTGTTTTATTCTCATAATGTTGTGCACTCTCTGATCTCAGAGGTGGCACAACATGCATTAACACTTTCAAAATATACTATAAGATGATTTTATATTTTGTTAGATAGAATTCGTGCAATTGTTGATACATTTTCCTGACAAATTATTAATTCCTTGTGAGTAACACTAATGGATAAACACGACAAAGACGAATTGGTTCAAGCGTTCAAAGATATGGATAAAAATAACGATGGATTCGTGACCTTTGCAGAACTCAAAGAAGGTTTCGGAGCATCCCCCGATTTTGAGGAATTTTTACAGGTATGTTCAGACAAACTTTTACAACAGTTCTTATTATGTATAGAGTGGTAAAGCTTATTTTATCTCAATTGTTTATATAATTTGCCTATCCACTTGGATGATAGGTAGTTAAGAAAGTATCAAGCACCTTTCATATAATAATGCTAAGAAAATCTATTTGTAACTCTTTATATTTCTTGATAACTCTATGAGTAAGGCTTAAAGCGTAGTAAATGATTTCCTCACTAAAACTATCTCACTGGAATCTAAGTCCATACGTTGATCGCGTCACTTACTTCTTATCTCATCTTCCGTCTGAACATGTCTGGATTTGAGGTGCTTAACCTCCATAAAGATATTCAAACACACAATTCTAAATCCATCCTAGTGAAGAGTCGAGTACAACAGATTGTTTTTGGAACTGTGGGCAAAATAAAATATCAGTTCATGACCAAACTTCTTGGGTTTTCCTTCCATGTTACATCAGATGCCTGACAATAAACAGTAACAAACACACTGCTTATGTCTACACATTAAGGTTGAAAACGAAGGAGCGACATGTTTGTATTACAACTAATGAATATGAAGATATTTTGGAGTTCTTCCAACCGAATATTATGTATGACTAATCAGATTATTTTATTGTGGAATTTTTACTAAATTGACTACAACCCTGAGACGCTCACCTCGGTTTTCATAGACTCAAATTGACTATTCACTGTATATATCAAACATCATACAGTGTTCTTTGTATTAAATTTCATTCACCTTGTATATTCATGAACCTCATATTTGATACCAAGTATGTATATACTGCAGATGAAGGTAACTGAAGATATGACTTAAGTTGGGGATTACATTTTGAGTTAGTTTTTCAAAATAATCTTACTGTTGTTGCAGTGACCCAAAGCACCCTTCTTTGGTAGTTTGACACAGTAGCCTTTCTTTAAAAATTAGTAGGCATCTTTCTTTATTCGCAAACTTTTTCAATAGTAGCGTCAGCATGTCCGTTGAGGTCTCTGTATCCGTTTTCAGAAGGAATTCCACAGCCTTCCAGGCTTTGAGATCCAAGATATCAGTTCGTGTATCATGAATCGTAAGCATTTAGAACTCGCCTTAACGTAACAAATCTTCAATAGTTAACCTCAGTTATTTCTTTCATTAAAATGTGAGACCATTTTAGTTTCGTATTATAAGTAAATTGTGTGTCCAATCTCCCATCAGCACATAATGGAAGTGCATTTTATACCTTGGGCAATCCTACGCCGACATCACTGAGATCATATACAGAACCTGAATATGTATATATATATATATCCATATATATGTATATATAATAAATGCTCATTTTACAGCCACTCAACTGTCATCTATTTTATTCCTTTTACAGGAATTAATGAAATTAATGGATTTAAATCAAGATGGAAAGGTTTCACTGGATGAATTCATCAAAACTATTGATGCCATACTTCAATAAAATTTGGTGGTTCTTTAAAACTGTCACTGATGACTGCATTACAATACCTAACATGACAGGAATAACAAACAATAATTACCTTCAATTTTTTCTTAATAATAACATTAATAATTTTAACACTATGCGAAACAAATTTTCACTCTGACCGCCATTTCATTTCCTCGCTAACAACCGCCTTTGCATTATAACATGCAGTGTTACACTGTACCTTGCAAACAGATAATGTTTATTTTCTGAAAATCAATTATTATTTAAGTCATATCAGTGTCTTTTTTGCAAAGTAGTGGATGGTGTGATGATCGCACTTGACAGAACAATATCCCATATCTGTAGGGCTAATTCGCTCGTTCGTCTGTCAATCGTATTATAGCTTAAATTTTATGCGGAAACAGAATCCACACCTCCCGAATAAATAATAATGCCGTGTACTGATGAGTACATTTCTTGAATGCGCGAGTGATTATCGATAATTGTAAGGAGAAGCTATAAAGTGTAACACCACAGTTTTATGTGCATAGCGCCATTGTCTTGTTCCTCTCACAATGTCAGAGGGATAATGCGGGTGCATCAGGTTTTTAGCCTGACAGAACTGTTATTGTTTTCAATATAGCGAAAATATTCATTCAGACATTTATAAAACACAAAATAATTGAGCAAAGAATATCCTTTTCGATAATTTCCTATTCTGGCTCTACAAGTATATATATATGTTTATATACGAAGAATATTCTAGATTAGTAGTCAATAACAATATTAGCGTTCTTTATATAATATCGGTTTGTAAAGTAGGATTGACGGGATTGCCACAGTTCAAGAAAGACGCATAAGTTATAATAATAATAATAAAAAGATAATGACAAATAGAATATCAACTAAAATTAAGGAAATCTCTACAAAAAATTGAGGATCATTCGAACCCATATGGCCAAGGTAAGGACAATGTCTGAACTAACCTCTTCTGGATACAAAGTTAGGCCTCTTATTAATGAAAGAAACGGTAAAAAGGGCCGTTTACTTAGTATTTCTTTGGAAATAAGTACTGTCTTGCCTTACACACTTTTCTCACCACATAAAATGTATGCCCACCAAATAAGGTATTGTAGAGTTTTCTACTTAGTCTTCCGAGAATAAAGTGTTTTATAACTGTCTCTTATCCTGACTGATGAGATGCAAGCTAAGAGTTGTATATAGAGAGGATGTTCAAGGTTCGACAAAGTATTATTTGCTAATTTGTTGCATGATGTGAAGTGTCTATCTGCAACGGTACTAACAAGTTGGTTCAGGGACACTGCATCAACCCTACTAACAGCTTTCAGTATGCTTCTCAATGTAACAAGATCTTCCTTAAGTAACTTAGGTAAAATTAAGGCAGAGTGATAAAGAAGAATCGGTACGATATATGAATTAACGAATCGTTAAAGTAGAGACTAGGTGATATCTGATTGTCTTGACTTCCTTACGTGGAAGGTTAGTTAGACGAAATGTCTACCTAGAAATTGGCATTATATTGGAAGGCCAAGAATTAGACTCGACTGGGCGAGAGATACAATTCAAGGCATTTAATATTCGAATAATTTCAGGGAAATCACGTTTGCGTCCTAAAGTGAAATTAACAATTTGACATTTGGAGGTAATTAGCTGAAGGAAATTCGACAAGTACCAATGACTAATTTCTGATGAAAATCGATTCATCTGGAAACAGTCTAACTTACAGACATTCAAATTATTAGCGTACTCAACAAAGCTGGCTTCATGAGAAGGAGACAAGTCATTCAAGAAGAAAGAAAAAAGCAAAGTAAAAAGAACAGCATCTTATAAGACACCAGCTACAGTAAGGAAAGAAGCAGAAAAATTTCCTTTATATTCAGTGTACCGCTTTCTGCAGCAAACATAAGGGTGCAACCATTCCTCACTCCGGCGACCTATGTTTGTCAAGGCACATACAGTTGAAGAAAATGGGAAGCCTTCGAGTGACTGCATGTGACAATGTAGACTACTCAAAAGGATAAAACTGTTGGGAATCCGTATGTGGCCATTTTCTCCTGTTCTGGTGTTGAGGCATACAACGTTGTGGGAAGAATGTTTCTCTTAATTTCTTTACATCTCCAGTGGAACACAGGGCTTGAAGCTAGAGCTTGGAAGTTTCAGTAGCAGTGGTATTTATGTTTACAGGATGAGGCTGCTGGCCTCATGCCCAGCCTTCCCTCTTTACCAGTTTTATTACTGGCTTAGCGAGGTAAAGGAGTGAGTTTGTGGCCGGGGATCGAACCTTGAACCAGTTGAGATGTTGTCGAGTATTCTAGCTCTGTGCCACTGACTCACTGTCGGAACAATAATTATTATATATTTAAGCTGAACATTAAACCTTCGACTAACCAACAGTAGCCGTGATCGGTGGATTCAGAATGTCTAGATAAAGATTTGACAAATAAATGCACTGTAAAGATAATTAGAAACTAAAGAGTACTTCAGACTTCTGAAGGTTCTATAAAAGAAGTGTAATTGAAAATTCTAGTAACTTATCTTTCAATAATTTTAACAGTGACTGTGCTAATCTATCATGAATTAACATGCAGATAGCATAAAGACACTCTGTATTAGTGAAACATTTCACAGTATTTACAGGGCGTGTACATCTAAACTGTATACTCCTGTGCTTGACGCAAAGCAGATATAAAAACAAAAAACGTGTTGCGTTTTCATATGTGTTTGCTTGTAAGTTATTCTATCTTAAATCATCAATTGTAAGCACGCGGTGAACTCAACATAGTTAAATGGTCTCCAGTAGATAGCCTTATATAGTATATTTCTAAAGTCTGTTCCACATGTACGCTTTTCAGAGTAGTTTAAAGATTGTTTAGACTGCCAACAACTGCTTAGATTTATTCACATAAACTTCAAAATGAATACAATTCAGAAATGTATATTCCTTTCCAATTAGCTTCTCATCGTCGACTTTACACTAATACATTGTTTTTACATCAAGATGTCTTACCAATCAAGTGGTTATTTTAGTTTATAATTTTTAAGTATAGGGGCGGGGGATTGAAAGTAAGAGGTTAAAAGTCATCAGAAAAACTAATTAATAAACGAAGCAATAACAAGACGTAATTTGTTTGAATCGTGTATTGTGTTTGCGCAACACATTTAGAACAATCTGATTACACACGCACTTGTCATAGGAATATGTGATGAAATCAATAAAGAGTTAACAGGCGAGAAGATAAATTTAGGTCAAGTTAAAAGGACAAATTGAAGGTCAAAATAAAAATGAATATCATTAAACCAAATGACAGAGGTAATAGTACATCCACCCTGGCTGGTATCAAAACAAATTTTATCAAGGAAGGTGGTTTAGTGTGATGACGAATTGCTGCTTTGAATGCATAGAGGTGGTTTAAACATCCTAATCGCTAGCTGGGGCTTCGACAGACTTTAGGATACGCCCAAAACACGTTCTACAGATAGGTTTGAAAGATGTGTAAACATCAATTCTATGTCCTGTCTCTATAATATGTTTCGCGATAGAGGAGCTAGGTCTCCTGTTCTCACCACTAATAGGTTCTGAGGATTCTGTTTGCTTCTGGAGTCATTTAGGATCGATTCTCACCTCCAAACTCTCTATTAATTTCATGTATACATTCATAAAACAAGTTCGTGTGTGATCAGATTGTTCGAAATGTGTTTCGCAAATACACAGTACACGATTCAGACAAATTGTGTCCTCGTATTGCTTTGTTTAAATCCGTAAAGGGAACTAATTGTTTTGAATTAACTAATTGATGTTAGTAACAAGGTATCTAAGTTTTAAAAGACGGGTGAAAATTAATTACGGAATTCAAGATACGTTGATTCTTAGATGTCAGCAACAAGTTTTACATGATTGGGAAATTTGTAAAATAGCAGTGGTGACTAAGAAGAATAGGATGACTCAGAAGAGCTACATTGAGAAGAAGCCACACATATCCCAACACAAAATCCCTCCGACGACATGCGTTGAATCTTATTGACTCTATTAAAGCCCGTATTCCAGAACTACAACGCAACATTTCACAAAGGTCTCCAGCCCTCCACGATCTGCTACCTAATGAAACCCAGAGGTTTACGGAATATGTCAATACAGTCACTGAAAAACGAGCACAATCTACTATTTCCCGACTCACCAAAAGCCTCAAATCCATCAAAGCACATAAACAATTTCCTGAAGACCCTTCGAAATTCGTATTCAACTACTCTTCAGTTGCTTTATCCAACCTACAGTTAGAAGCCCTATCCATGGGCCCAAAATTCTGCGACGTCAACTTAAACGCCAACAGACTCCATACGCAAGTACAATTCGAAAACCTAATGACCCAAACAAATGATCTAACCCCAACCTCTGAACAAGAATTGCAGCGTTTCAAATCAACAATAATCGATAGCTGTTATCAGTATCTTAATACAAAGCCCAAAGTATACAACCACCTGACAAAGCAACATAGAGAAGAATTAAATCAACTAAAACAAAATGAAGAACTCCTTATAACTCGTCCAGACAAAGGAACTGGTATAGTCCTTATGGACAAGAAAGACTATATTGAGAAAATGAACAACATCTTGTCAGATAAAACAAAATTTTCGCAACCACCCAACGAAAGAAACAAAACAGAACAGATTGAAAAGCAACTCACCGATGTCCTGAAAAGAATGCAAACCCAAAAGTTAATCACTCATGAAGTGTATGATCAAATCCGACCGACAGGGTCAACAATACCAAGACTATATGGCTTACCGAAGATACATAAAGCCAACCTCCCACTTCGTCCAATTCTGGATATGTCAGGTTCCCCGTACCATTCAATAGCGAAATGGCTCACTGACATTTTAGAACCTGTACGAAAACGAATGTGCCACTATTCACTTCGTGACACTTTCCAATTCGTCGATTACATTAAAGATATCAATACAAAGAACAAAACTATGCTCTCCCTCGACGTTGAATCACTATTTACCAATGTTCC